CTTGGGAACAGGGCTGGGGTGGAGGGGAGGGAAGCACATAGACTTCAAGAAGCTAAAATTCAGCTGGAGAAGGTAGGGAAGGTTTCCATGGTAGAAAGCAGAGCTGCACAGCACAGCTGCTTGAGGAAAGCAGCATCTGTGCTTGGGGTCAGGTATTGAAGCCTGGTAACAAATCCTATTAAGTGGCCACCTGTACATGGTTTCCTTATTTGCAGGTGTTTCAATAGTATAGCTTATCATTACCTAATAAATATTATCAACTTGGCCATATTATGCTGCTGTAAAGGAGGTGGGGCTTCATTCCCTTTCCAGCCTACACAAAGCATTAGCCCTGGATGCCTCCACTTTCAGGGGCTAGGCACCGGTTTCTGGTTTGACTGAAAGCCTTCCTCTCTGGCTAAGGACTAGCCTAGACCTAGAGAGGGATTTGGCTCAGGCTCTCTTCTGTGTAGTAATGACCAAATCACACAAGATCTGACCTCCAGAACACTTGGGCATCCCTCAGCACTGCTGAGCTGGCTGCTGGTGAGCTGAGCTTCAAGCCCTCTACTAAGCCTGAGGGCCAAGTCCAGTCACAGTCACAGCCACAGCCAGTGCAAGCCCTGGAAGAACAATCATCTCAAAATCACCTCAGGGGAATCAAGCCAGGCATCCAAAATGAGGAGTGTGGTCCCATATGATCTGATCTCACATCATACAGGAAGACTGTGGTACAGTCCAGAAATTAGCTCAGCCCTTCAGCTTGCAGTATAGTGCCACAGCCAGAAGAAATTGTAGGACAGGAAATTATTGTTGACTGGATCCATCATTATTGTTTTACCATCTGTTACTTCAGGTTAGTGTTTTTCATAGCTCATACCGGTTTTCAGCATTGCATCCAATTTTTGCCGACCAGAAGCTGAAAATAAAAGCAGCTCAAATCTTGATCAGGAGTTCACCTTCAATTCCCAGGGAAGATCTCAGTCATGAAAAATGCTACAAAATCATTAATGAGCCCGTGTAGTAGAGACCTCTGTTTAATCTCCCATCCATCACATGGCACCTTTGATATTGCAATGACCCAGGTTTCCCACAACACCTGGCACTTAGATACATAGCACTTCACCTTCTCTAAGCATTTAATTGGCATAATAGATTAATGTTTATCGATTAACCCATTCAGAAGGAGACCACCACATTCCAGGTTTCTGGTCTCTCCTTCTTTCAGCATGTAACCTTTAGTTGGTGGATAGGAGGTGGCTAATTAACATCTTTGTGTCCAGGATTTTACAGGATGCTGTGAACCAGCCAGGTCATAGGCAGAGGGCTTGGAATACCCCCAAGGATGTGCAGAAAGGTTAGCACAGTCAGCATCTGCTAATCCTCCCTTATGTCAGCACTAGATTTGCAATTAAAACACCTCCCACTTGCCATGGGCAAAGAGCACACACCTGGGCTGGTACTGATGTTCAGGTGGCATGTAATACCTGATCATAGCCTTCAGCAGGAACCTCTAGAAGACTACATGACACTGTGATCACCAGTGGTGTTATCGTAGTCATTTGGTGGGGTTTCAGAATGTTTATATACTTGACCACTGAGGCTTCTAAGTTATTCACGTGTACTCACGCACACACGATGAGCACATATATTCACACAGATACCGCCTTTTACAGAATCGGAATCAATTCACAGGTTTGCTTTGTGGATAAGACTGGGTATCTTCCCAGCAGAAACACCTTATCCCACACTAAACTTATGGTTCCTTTGGTATTGTAGAGAATTAGAAGCCACTGAGTAACATTCATGGAGGTTCTGGAAAGGAGAGTCACTCACAAAAGTCTCTGTTAAATCACTTCAACAGTAACCATCCTCTTTTTCTACAATTAGCATCAAAGGAGCAGTGTCTAGCTGCTTGTTTAAACTTGCATTAATCACTATTTCCTTTCTACCAGATACCCTGTGCCTCTGGGAACAGTTTCCCCCTATTCCATGAGCCTGGCTCAGGCTCCCCAGGCTCTGCCTGTACTTGAATGCAGACCCTTATTCCTTCCATTTATTAAACAAACTCTTCCACTAAACAATCATGAAAGTTTTACAAACCCCCAAATCACTAACATAAAGCAGTCCTATGCCACTAGGCAGTTTGGCACTTAGAACATCTCTCAAGTAACAAACAATGGGGCAAGAGGAAACAACCTCAAGCTGCACCAGGGGAGGTTTAGAATATATATTAGGAACAATTTCTTCACTGAAAAGGTTGCCAAGCACTGGAACAGGCTGCCTAGGGAAGTGGTTGAATCACCATCCCCAGAGGTATTTAAAGACACATAGATATGGTGCTTGGGGACGCAGTTTAGCGATGAACTTGGCAGTGAAAGGTTAACTCAGTGACCTTAAAGTTCTTTCTCAACCTAAACAATGCTATAATTCTGGGTACCTGTGCATGGGCATCATCAGGAAGCAAAGAAAAGCTATTTTAAATGTCTGGGCTTCCCTCTTTTCAGCAAAGCATACCAGTGCCTTCACCTCAGTCAATGAACACTGTTCTTAAAGGATAACCATCAGCTTAAGAGAAGGCTTAGCAAGCACAAATGCTGTCTGTAACAAAACACTTTTGGATAGAAATAATATTCTTCGACACCTTCTTTGGCTAGAATTTAATAAGTGAGAAATCAATGTCATAATCAAATGTAATACTTATTTCCTAGAATAATCCTCTGACACAGCACTTGCTACTTCAGCTGATTAGATGCATTCCTCAAATCACTGGAATTCCTGATCAGTAACCCAGGAGTCCAAGGCAAGTTTTTTTATTATAACCTAAGGCAGTTACTTCCCTTCATCCTAAATGCTTACAAGGGGAGAAACACTTGTAGGAATTCCTCTGTAGCCATCAACTTAAACATTGTATTCTCCCAGCAGTGGATAAATAGTGGATGATTAAGCCTTTGATGCCTAAACACCGATGTGCTTGGGATTAACAGCCAGACCTGTGCTCAGAAGGTCTGTTCTTTATTTTTCATATTTCAATAGACATGAGCAGAGAGGGAATCTCAGACTGCAAGACTCAGCAAGGGAATGCAGGAAAGACCTCAGGCAACAGCAATGGGATGCTGCCAGTCCTAGGCGAGTTCTACAGGTGGGAAACATCTATCTTCAAAAGACTCGCTGTCAGACAAGATAGTTTTCAATAAAGAGATGAAACTGATGGGAGGTTTTCTCTCTGCAATTCTGCCTGCTTTTGGCAGAGTAGGCCTGTGTGTGCACGAAGGAGTTATGACTTGACAGCAAGTTGTAAAGCTTTCCCTTCTTATCAAGGCAGAGCAGCTGAGACAGCCTCTTCTATAGTTGGCTTTTTAATTGAAAGATTAAGTGTTCTCTTATGCTGTTTGCATGAGACAGCATTTCAGAAGAGTCACCCAGAGTCCAGGTGTTTCAATACTTTGATAGCCCCTGGGATGGAACTGGTGAGGGTCACTAGCAAGGGGAGAGGACAAGCCAGGGTGTCTCACCCTCAGGTCAGTGTGTGCCCATAAAGAGCTTGATAAGCACCCCCATTACAAACAAGTGCACTTCAAACTTGATGATAGAAGACTACACAAATACCTCAATAACAGAGCCATTGCAGAGACACATCCTCATCTTTGTTTCCCAGGTGGCTCATGCTTTCTGGTGCCAATGCAGCAGGACCATCCGGATCACAAGCATGCAGAGTTAGAGCACAGATGAAAGCAGCAGATCCCTGGGCTGCACTCAAACCCAAAGCCTGGGTCTCTGGGGATAGGTTTTAAGGACACAGCCAGCTGCATCTACTGGTGAGAATTGAAGTTACTGCCTGGGGAAGGGGATTGACTTGACTCAGGAGATACTGCAGAGGACAAGTTGGCAGCAGCATTAGAGGGACTTTGATCATGCAGTTTAAGCTCCTATTTAGGCCATCAAATTTCATTCATTTAACCTATCCTTGACTCCTGTAATCCCCCAGGGAAACAGTGAACACTCCAAGACTGCTACCCAGTGGAAAAGAGCCAGGAGACAGCTTCGATATCTCACAGCAGAACAGAGGCAGAGGAGTTCCTCCTGCTACATCCCCTTCTCAGCTCAACTGCTCCTGGCATGCCATGGCTGCCCCATGTCCTGGCAGAGCAACTGGGAAACGGAGCTGGTGGTGGGATGCAGGGACACACAGTCAGCCCCACACAGGTGCAGCACGATGTCCTTTTGGTCATTTCAATGTCACAGAAAATACCCAGCCCCTCACATCCTGATTTGCCAGGAATAATTCTCAATCATTTAAAGAATAGGGAATGCAAAAATCCAAGCCATAAAATCCTGACATCCATGCTACGTAACAGAGAACAGAGGTGACTGCCAACACAGTGGGAACCAACAATAAACATCTTCCCAAGAGATGACCCCTGTCAAAATAAACAGATGCACATTTCTACCTATTATTGCCCTGCCATCCATAGCCCAAGACTTATTTCCAGGCTTAAATGGTTCATTATTAGGAGAAGAAAAAAGAAAATTAAGACAGTGTCTGCAGGGGAGAGCACCTTCTGTGAGCATCCCCTGCTTCATATTTTAACACCCAGGGCAGCTCAGGGATCCCCAGCATTGCTGCATAGGGGGACACAATGACCTTTAGATACAGCAGACTTTGGAGTTCCATTTCAACTGGGTTGAAGAAAGCATTTTAAAGGGAAGATGGGGATTATATTTTTTTTTTCCATCGGATGATCTAGTTCTGGTTTGTTTGAATCAGGATTAAAAAAAAAGAAAGTCAGTAAAAGAAAAGGAAATTTTCTTCCCTTTAAGCCTAACAAAACTCATCCATCACCCATCTGTCCACCTTGCACCTCATTATTTATTATTCAAGACTCAACAAGCTAGCATGCCAGTTAAGATTTTCCCTGAAGAAAGCTGGCATCTAGACAGACAACAACTGCTATCAAAATGTTTCTGATTTCTCTGCCCTCTCTCACTCCATCCCTCATGTCAGGAATAAATACAAAACCTTTAAAGTAAATAAAACACTTTTAATGAACCAGCAAAAAACAAGATAAAAAAAAATCAAAACAGAAGTCTGTTTTCTTTAGTCAGAATTTGTCTGTGCTCCATTAAATCACCCTCTTCATGGTCCCTTTCATCCTTCTGAATTCTCTCCTGCAAGAGGAAATCTGGTCTCAGACACACACAGGCTTCTGGATACAAGACAGCTGTTGTTCAAACCACAGGTGCAAAACTACAGCCATGATGCATCTTTCCCATGCATCCTTCTAATGAGATGATTTAGCTCAGTGGATCCTGGAAAAGAAGGTACCATAACTCAGAAGCCTCCCCTAAACTGTTTGCTGCATCAGCAGTGAAGCTGAAGTAGCCAGCAGCACTGCCAGGGCTGAGTCCATCCCAGTCATGCACTGACACCACACTCCTGTGGGCACAGAGAAAGCCTGAAGGTCAGTGCAAACGCAGCCTCCATTTACTAGGGACTACCTATAGGTCTCCTTAATACCAAGATGATACTTCCCAGAGTGGTACTGCTTTATGGCTAGGATATGCTGGCAGCCCCCAGTCAGTTTGTCTTTGCAAATAGGTCCTCCAGCAAGAATCCCCCCAGTCTGCATCACACTACAAGTGACAGTGCTGCCCAGGGGTAGCTGCTCCAGTCAGGTCTCCAGCACACCATGGGCCAGCCATGCTCTGGTGTCACAGCATGCAGGCAGCATGCTCGGCTTCCACATCAACTGACTCCACCATGCATGTGAACCATAGTCAAGAGTATCTAGCCATGGATTTGAACTCCCACTGCCCAATGCACTGAAAGATAAACACACAGGTGCAGCTTTCACCTCCTCCTCTATTTCAGAGATTTAACAGAGAGCACCACTCCCAGCCTGAGGGTTATGAGCCCCACAAGGCAGCCCAGCATGGAGCCATGCACTAGCTCACGTTAAAACATAAGCCTGCAAAAAGAAAATAAAGCTCCAGATACCTCTGAAAATAAGGCATTTTACCCCACTATCCCAGAGAACAGCCTTGCAGCAGAGATGGAACAGGGTAAATGAAGTATTTTCCTCTTCACAGCAGCACCTTCCCATTTTTGTATCTTGCATCAAATAACATTCTCCATTATAATGCTTCCTGCAAGAATATTTATCAGGAAAAACATAAGCCAGAAAAAGCGAGATTGTTGGTTTTTTTCCCCTCTGTTATCTCAAAGTTTCCTGCCTGTCAAAGATTCACACATTGGCTGATGTGTCATTCATGTAGTACATAAATATAAGTTACGCAGGAATGGATCTGCAAGTGCCCATGTGGGGGGTTCTATCTTGTGCACTCAACAGGCACCTCTGGGTGCAAACAGCTTACACAGAGTCTGAGTGAATAGAACTGATGAATATGGGGGAAAGCTCAGATGGTACTTCCCCAGAGCCAGGCTCACAGTGCTTGGAGCAGAAGCCAGGAAGGGACCACACAGCTATGTGACACAAGTTGGGCTTTGGTACATAGGCTCATGCAGGTGATGTATGGTGTTTGCCACCCCCCGTTACAGCTGTTCAAGCACATCACAGTCCTGGCATCTCAGGACAGTCACGTGTATTCCCACTGCCAAAAGGGATACAGACTTGGGACAAAATCTGTAAAGGCAAACACATTTATCACCCATTCACTAGCAGGACACTGCCATTACTGTAGGTACCACAGTATCCAACAAAGAAAAACAATCAGAGGCTCCACTAATGTTTTAGGAAAACGATGCATTGCAGATGTGGGTTTTGTGGTTTGGGGTTTTTTAAATACTCACTCCCTCCCCTCAGTCTCCTTTATTTTTTTTTTTATTCCAGTAACTTCTACAAGTAATCCAATGTCTTTCATTCCCAAAATTCATTACAATTAATAAGGTTTAAAGCCCACTCAGCAGTAAACCAAGACAAGTAGTAAATGATTTCTCCCTGGTTGTGCTGAAAGGGGGAGAAGCTCTGGACACCCAGAGGGGCATGACACCCACTGCTGCACACAGAGCTGTGTCAGGGCTTGGTAATGGAGTGCTGCATCTTCTTCAGCCTCTCTGCTGAAACATCATGTCACTTACCACATCAAGTTACCCAAAACGCTTTAAATAGATGCAGTACTAACAGTGCTTAGCTTCACATGCAGTACCCAAAGCACAGGGTTCTGGTAGGGAAATGGTCTTTTCAAATATCTTGTCTCTAGAAACAGCAGCATGGACTAAAATGTCATTTATTTCATAAATATAAAATAGCAAGACTTGCAGTTCTCCCTGGGTTTTTTATGAATCTGCTTTACTCCTTTAGCTCCTTATTCATTTGCACTTACCTTTTAGTCTGATCATGTAAAAGGTTTTGGAACAAGTACAGAGGAAGAATAAAAACATAATGGTTTCTCACTGCTCGAGGGCATAACTCTAATTAGAAGAACATTCTTGCTTTTAGCACCCAGACTTCTCTCTCCAAAATCTGAACTCTGACATTTTCAAACTGAGATTTAAAACAAGAAAATAATTCTCAGTGCCATGATGAAGGGCTGCCTGCATTGTACAATGGAAAAGGGGAGGGGTGAGGGAGAAAGAGATTCAAGGCTAATAGACTTATCAGGGAATTTCAGTTAGGAAAAATGCAGATTTATTCACCAGCAAGACCCCAGCTCATCTTCACACATCAGCACTGCAGTGGCAGTTCTGTGCAGTGCTGGAGTACCTGAACATATCTGTATGATGCAGTGCTCTGCTTGAATGAGTATGAGCACTAATACATATGCACTGAAGAGAGTAAATACACATACATATTGATCTGATGCAAACTGCCATGCACCAACACACGGTATACTGTGGCTGAGTCTATATTGCTGCATGGCTCATGGGCAAACCTGCTGTCTGGCAGTAGCATCAGAGACCCATCCCTCTGTCACATGCCATGCTGCTCAGTCTGGTTTCACTTCTCTGCAGTCCATTCAGTTGTATATGTGAAACCCTCCACAGGTGATATAGACATCTCTGATCCCACCCCACATGGCCACACACTACAGTCAACAGGCATAAAGCAATCAGTGCTACACATGAACTCCCTGTGGCCACAGCTCTACATGCTCCTACTTTCAAATACAAGTAAGGATCTGAGTTTTACCAGCCAGTGTACCCTGCAACATTAACACTTGATGGCGTCTGTAAGCCCAAAGATTTGTTCTGGCTCACTTCAGAAAGCATCCTCTGAGTAAAAGCAGATGGAGACCAAATATGTAAATCCCTGGGGATATACCCAGGGACAGGCCAGTCTTTATAAAGTAACTTGTCCTTGCTCCTTCTCCAGATGTAGTTGCTCATCCCAGACTTAACCCACCAGCTACAGACCATGCTGTCTTTAACAGATGAAGTTGCATAAGCAGATCAGGCATACAGATACATAAATATATATACATGCATGTACAGGAATCTCCTAGAACTTGAGAGCATCCTTGATCAGTGGTGCCCTGGGCACCAAGTATTTCATAGTGCCTCCACTCTCATTGCACCCCTCCCAGCATGATTCCCATTAGGCTTAGCTGCTCCTACCAACCCCAGAATGCTCTCAAAACCTCTTCTACATGCCCTTATCTATATAAAGCAGCAAAGGACCCTTGCAGAGAAAACTCAGAATGGTTGTAGCCAAGGTCATCTTCTTCAACACACACTAGAGGATGGCCCTTATTACCACAGAAAGAAATTACTTTTGAAATGAGATGCAAATATTACTTAGCAAAGTCCACCAGTCCAAACCACTTTGATCAAACCACACTAGCACATACCTGCAAGGCCAAGCACAGTGAAAACACTGCTTCTGTAACCAGAAGATTTTGCAGAAGCCCCAGGGCCCGTATCAATCCAGTGGGGTCACAGCTCCTTGCTAGCAGAGATGTCCAACATTAGACGTTCCTAACCTACAATTACTCTAATTTTTTGTCTTAAGAAGCTATGCGACTTCACAGTTAGAAAGACCATATAGATGACACAGCACTTTAACTGCAAATATACACCCTCAAACACCAAATAAACCCCCACTGTTTCTGCCCTACTTCAAGGATGCAGCCTTCTGGTACCTATGTAAATCATTGAGTAAATTGGCAACACATGCTGCTAAGGAGCCACAGGTGTGGCAAACTAACACCTTATTTTCTGTATGCTCTTAGCATAGAGCCCACTTTACTCTTGTGCTATTATCAACTGTAAGTTTAAAAAAGAAAGAAGTGTATTTTAGAATTAGTTTCTTATAATCAGCTAAAAAGCATTCATTCTCAGGTTAGGAGTAGGAAAAATAAGAAAAACAATATAACCACAACCTCAGAAGGCAAAAATCAATGGACTCAAGATCAAGGATAAACAAATACAGACTTGTCAGGTTTGGAATCAAGAGTCATTGAAAACAGCATTTTGGAAAGAGACACTACAATTGACAAATTAATTCTAATAAAAAATTGACATATTTTATTCCATTTAAAATTCAATACATAGATTACACACTATAGTTCTTTTCTTCTTGTAACAGGAGTAATTAAATTGTTATCACTCTCAACCAATAGTAGTATTAATTTTATTTTAAACATCAATATAGAAGAAACATTTAGTAACAGCAAATCAAAACCACATATATATGCATTTCCACGTTGAAAATCAGTTCATCAACTAATGTGAACAAATGACTGAATCATTTCAATAGTTCATTTCCAGCACAAATTCCTTTACAATGCACCTGTAGCTCTGCCTAATGTGACAGAGTCAGAGTGTTTTACAAGTGAAAACCATGCACACCAGCAGGGCAGGCTACTTGCTGCACTACCCCTGTAGGAAAGGAGACTCTCCATATCTCAGCATTAACCTGACTGGAAGAAGCACTGAGCTTGCAATATAGAGAGCTAATGATTCATTTTGAGTCCTCATCCTGTATAACGTCTTTAACTGGTTTCTGGACGATTGACCAGCTTCATCCATCAGATACTCTAAAGAAAAATAAAGCATACTGGAACTGTTAGTATAGGCAGATTCTCCCCTGTCCCCCTGCTTTGCTTCTTATTTGCCTGCATTTCTTCAGTCTTCATTTGTTAACAGCAAAAGTGCATGCACATGTGGGTGTTTGCAAAGGAAAGGTCAGCAGGCAAGAAAAGAAAAGCAAGACCTGACCAACTTAGGAATCTTGAAATGAGCTGGTTATGGACAAAAGACAGCTGCCCAGCAGCCCTACAGAACTTTCAAACAGTAGTGAAGGGAGAGAGGAGACATGGACCGTCCTTTCCATCAGTGGTGGGGTGGTTCGGTTGGTTTGAGAATTTCTATCAAAACCAGAATTTTGCAATCATTTTTCCCCAGAAAAGCAAAAGGGAAACAAACTTTTCTGTTGGGGGTTAGGTTATTTGGGGGTTTAATTCCCTCTAGCAGGTATGTTTGAATAAGAACAAGGGTTGTTAAACTGACCCACCACGCCAGCACACACAAAGGCTTTTTTCAAATCATTTAAGAGTGATTTAGGCACTTGAATAAAAGCCCCAAGCCTCACCTAATTGTTTGCAACTAAGATATGGTCCAGTTGAAATTGTTTCACTGATTGGTCTTTAAGTGTTAGATTTTCTAAAGAACCTAAGATAGAAAAGTGTCTGCTTCCTATTAAAATGTAATGGGATTGATTCCTAATCTCTCTTTAATCTCCCCTGAAAAATACAGTTTAAATTAATCTGTGGAGAAGCTTCACTCTTTTGAGACTACAAGTCAGTAGAACTGACTCTTAATCTGTATAAACCTGATGAATGCTAAATAAGATGCTCCTAAAGCATCTGTCCATATGTCTCTGTCCTGGACAACACCATCCATTCTAATCTAGTCCTAGATTTGGGTGATAGGAATACCCTAATTTCTACTAACTATATGTTAACTTTGCCATATGGATAAAATATGCAGCAATGACAGTGGTGACTGAATCCTTTCCATGTGTAATCTAGACTAAACCACAATTGAATCCAGGTATTTCCAGAAGAGAAAGCCAGGTGCAGGCCACGTATGCCCCTGCAGGGAAAATCCAAGTTGCCTAGCAAACCCATTGTAAAAAAGCTCTCATACATCTTCTTGAACAGGATGAATACTCTGCATAATTATTTTATAGTATTGTACCCAGATACAAAAGCCTGGTTATCTGCCATGAGTACTAAGACTTCAAACTGAGAGCAAAAGCCTGAATTATTTGGTATTACTGGAAATGCCATTCTTACAGAATTTCAGCAGTGATAGGATTTTATCAGCATTTCAGCAAAAAGGATGTATCATTTATGCAAAAAAAAAATATTTTGTTTATGAATTATGCCCTATCAATGTTAAGATGCTGCTAATAGGCATGTTGCAGTCTGAAAGGAGGGATGCAGGCCACACAGCTGGGCACATAATGAATATTTGCCCATCTTTGCCCAAAAGAACATGGGTTTAAGTAACAAGCAAGAATCTAGCAGTCACAATGTACTCCTCACCTACTGAAAGTTCTGCAACAAAAGGAAAAAAGCTAGAAATCTGTGGAAAAAACCTTGGCGGGTCCCCAGCTATTCAGCTCACTACCCACCCCCACTGTTCCACCTCATCGGTCTGTGGAAATGACTATTCCAGCTCAAGAACAATTCCAGAGGACATCTCCTTTGAGTTGAAAGCAGTTTTTCACCTGTGCAGCAATGGAAGCCCATACTGGGGATGCAGATGCCTGCCCAGCTCTGGGTCTCTACCCACCAGCAGACAGCGCAGCAGAGGAGGGGCAAAGCTGGGGCTTTCACCACCCATGTGAAGCATGGAGATGTGCAGCTGGGGCTGACTTGGGCCTCAGTGATCCTGAGCTTGAATTGGCTAAGGCAGACGTCTACCAGCATACACAGGGCAGCTCTCAGAGAATGACTGCTTGAGTCAAGGACTGGATAAGAGAGGCATGAATTATCTCTGCTCCTGTGCTGGGCAGAACTTTCCTCTGCAAAGAAATCCAAAGTCTCCGAATAAAACAAATCTTCCTCCTTCCTACCATGGGTGCCTCCACGCAGATGTTCATGTCTCCTGTTCTAAGTGCCGTTACAGCCCAGAAAGGTTATCTAATTACAGAAACAATACTTATTGGATGCACTAATGCTTCTGCAATTTTAATAGCAATATGATAGCTAGGATTTATATTATTTTCCCTTTCTGATTAATTATTTACATAGAGACAAGCTGAGATTATTAAGTACGTGTGGGCTGTGCCAGGCTGGAAAGAGGGGTTTTAAATGAAAATGGCAGAAACAGACTCTAAACTCCTTTGAAAACAATCATCCAAGTGTTTCCATATCCTGTGACCCAGCACCTTGCATCAAGGCTACTGGTACATTGGCCCAGAGTGCAGAATTGATCCAGGACATTACAGGTAGTGTTCTAACTTCACAATTTGGTAGTAAGCTACAGCAGGCAAAGGAAACTCTAATGTCAACACGTCAATCAAGGAAAGCTGTGTTTAGCTGTAAGCCTAACACAGGAGTACATGACAGCTGGGAAACATCATATAATGCAGGCAGTTTTGCAATGACTGCTCACTTACTCTACATGCAGCATGCCCCCGAGGTGCTAACTGGGATCAGGAGAAAACTTAGCAACAGACAAGCCTTCAGAGAGACATTTGTCAAATACCCAACTTATTTCAAAGCACAGCCATGAATTCTTCACATAGGCTGTACTCTAGGGGAAGCATACACATTTCCCCCTTTTTATTAAAAATGCCCACAACATCTGTCTGAAATTTATCATCTTTTCCCAAGATCAAGTAATTCTTGGAGATTTGCGCCAATATACTTTAACAGACAAGTCACATGCTTAGTGCTAAATGACAACATTGAGCCTGGCCAGCTCTTCAGGTGGGATGATCTCATTTTGAATATTTCATTAAAAATCAATTTGAAATGAGCCTAAGATGCACTCAAGTCTATGGATAAAATCCTGCCAGCTTATAGGAATCTGAAAACCATACCCACTGTGCAGCCATTCAGTCTGAAACACAAATCTCTCTTTTAAATCTGTGCAAATTCCCTTGCATCTATTTATCATTCTGCATACTGAGAATCACTTTGCTAACTTTCTAGAAGTCCAGGTAGGAAATGGTGCTTTGCTGCAGTGGTAAAATTAAAAGAGGAAATTCCTAAGGAGGAAAACGACAGATCTTTATGCTTAAGTCATTAAATTCATTCAGCCCGGAAAGAAATTAATCTTATCAAGTTTTAATCAGGTGGCAACTTGCTTTGATTTGTGAATAACAGTTTTAATAAAAGATATTTCACAGAACAGAAGAATCTCTAGCGCAAAATGCCCCAAAGCCTCCTCTGACTGGGAATTTCTGGTCATTAAAAACAACCCCAAAAGCAGAACCATCACAACCCACCTCATCTGTAGCAATGAAAACATGAGTAGTCAGAGGAGAGGACAAAAAAGCAAGTCCTTAGTAGAAAGGGAATGGAAAAGAAAACATCTAATTGGAGTAACTCTAATATCTCACCATAACCTCACAGCTTGGGAGGTAGAAACACAGAAGTCTATGATACTTAGCAGTGTATGCAGTTTCTTCTCACAGCTGTTTTCATGGAATCACAATTGGATCAAGTAAATCATTCCAGGCATAAGTTTTCCATAATAGATGGAGGTCATGCCTCCTCCCTTACTGGAATCAGGCAACTGCAGCTGTTCAGGCTGATCCACTAGCCTGCTGGATCATGGATCACACTGTGGCAGTGGAGGGAAGGATCCCTGCCTGTCCCATGCCATTCCCTCCAAAGTGGCTGCAGGACAAAAGTGATAAAAGAGACCCCTGCTAGTCCATACCACTGGAACACAGACGAGCCACCATTTCCATGCCCAGAGAGGAACCGCATGGGGTG